CAAGCCAGAGCAAACCCTTTCACGGTAAGACTGACCACAGAAACCAAAACAGAGTTAAACTACGGCCAAGAAGAACAGAACATCAAGCAGGTTTTTGACTAGGCAAACTTACTGGATCAGCCCATTTAGCAGCTATTGCTTCTGCGATTTTCCTTCTCTGCTCTGGAGATTTCGGCGCTCTTCTGTTGCTTTTAGCTCCTCTCGCGGCTTTCCTCTGCTCTACACTTTCGAGCCACTCCAGTTGATTCTGTTGATCCAAGATGTTGTAAGAGTTCCACTGAAGCTCTTCTTGGTCTGTGTGTCCTTCTTTAGCAGCTTCCGCTAACAAGTTCTGCCACTCGAAATGACATGTCTCCTGCACTTTTCTCCTCTCCTGCCGCCTTGCCCATCGCATCCGCACTCCCTCCCCAATTTTCAACCGTGTCTCCTTGCTGTACACATTCAAGCAAATTTGGGAAGATAACATTACGATACCAAAGGCATAAGAGAAACCGGAAGAGTTACATATCAAGTTAAAAAAGAAAACCGGTACTGACTTTTGCGCGTGGCCTAGATTCGCTAGTTTCATCTTGATCTGCGAAAGGAAGAAGACACAAAAGGTTTCTATGAGGGATTGAAAAAATCTGATTCATAGAGCAAATCATGAACTCCCTAACATAACATAAGTTACCTGCAACAGCTTTCCCTAAATTGTATATATACCTCAAGACTAGAATAACACAAGTGTAGAATCTGTTTGACAAAAAGAACGTTTTCTTGTATGCATTTTAAGCTACTTCGGTACAAGTTCCACTAGGCCAACACCTCTCTAAGAAGACATATATAACCATTCTTACATGACATCACCTTTGGGTCTTGCATTGCAATCTTTGTCCTTTCTCTAATCTTCTGTAGCGTCTCTGCATCAAACGCAAACATACAAAAAAAATCATTAAGAAATGTCCGAACTAGAAGCAACGGCAGAGAGATTCCTGAAGATATACTCACCCGGACTATGTTTCCTGCCTTTGTTCCAAGGAGTGTTCCCTCTATTTGCCTTGGAAATCCTCATCCTTCTCAACCTTTCTCTGTCATCCACTTTCTCTTCGCCATCATCAGAACTTCCATTTCGATCATCAGGAGGTTTTGAAGAAGCAGAAGACAAGGAATAGCTTTGTTCCTTTTCTCTCTGAGCAGTGTATTTCGTTTCAAGAGTGGTCACTGCAGAGACAAGGACTTGGCCTCTTCGTACACCTGTGTAAAATTTCAGATTCTTGGAGAAACTGGATTGTTTCCATGGGTTTGGTAGGGTTTTAGAATGGATAATACTCTGAGCCCCCAATGGAACAAGATGAGCTTGCAAGGAAGGTTGGATAGTAGCAATATCTGCAACATTAAAATGTTAGGAACTAAGCAATTCTCTACAAACTTAGCAAAGCAATAGTCTTTTTTTTCTCATATGCATCTAACAACCCAGTAACTATAAAAAAAAAACCTTAGCTTTGTTTGGACCTGAGATTGAAACTGTAATGAATTGTCACTCAAGAATGATACCCAATAGACAAGAAACAAAATTGACAAAACTGAAGAAGAATTCTAAACAGACCCAGAAGAAAAAAAGACAGAGTGAATTCATCACTGCATGATAAATGTTAGAAGAATCTGAAAAATTACCAGAAAAGGTACCTAAAGAAGGCATTGGGAGCTCATTCAGCCCAGGAAAAACGAGAAAAGGCAGAAACTTGAAACCCTCTTTCTTTGCGACGCGACACAACCAGAATGTATTGTAAGATTTATACGGAGCAATACATTTAGGTGATTTATGTTCCTCTGCTGTCTTGAGAGGCGAGGGTTTTTGCAGGGATTTTAAGACAGGCAAAGGATAAGCCACACAATAGCAAACTTCAACCAAGATACACTTCTCTGTCTGGCTTTGACGCAGCAACCAGGAGACGGAGGATAACGAGACCCGGGTTGCTCTAATAACCCGACCCGTATCATACTATATTGGGCTAATGGGCCTTAACCTTTGCTGGGATATCAAACGGCGGCGTATTCATTTTGCGGTAGAGGGTAAAGCGAATCATGAAAGGCCACGTGGTGTAATCCGGGTCGTTTTATCACCAATTAACCCGACCCGCATCACCTATTGTTGGGCTAAAGGGCCTTACATATGTTTTACTTGAAACGGCGTCGTACAGTTAACGTCTTTAAATGTGGATCGAGAACAGCCACGTGGCGTGAGCCGGGTCGGATCTTGAAAGCCTAGTATATGGGTCGGCGGTTCCGGGTTGATTTCCGGCAACGACTCCAACGCGTCACTCATGGAGAGAGATTCCTCGTCGACATCCTCGTCGTCATCGCCGGATGAAGAAGGCGATCGCCGAAATCTGCTCGACGAATCAGATTCTCAAATCGACCGTTTTCGCGGAAGTGACGAGACCCCTCTGTCTTCCAGCGACGCGGCGGAGCAACTTCCTACTTTCGACGTGGAGAGTCTCCGATCACGTTTAAGACGGAGTTTCAAGCTCAACCTCACTAAGCGACAGTACATTGTTATCTTCCTCCCTCTCGTCCTCGTTGTCCTCTACTTATCTACCGATTTCAGCAATTACTTCTTCTCCGTCAAAGTTCCGGATTCTGTATTCCGGCCAAATACCGGGACGGTTCGGGCTCAGGAATCGGATCTTCAAGCACTGTATCTTCTCAGGAAGCAGGAAATCGATCTCTTCTCAATCTGGAACCACACTATATCGAATCTCTCCACAGTCGAAGACGTGAAATCTGCAGTTTTCCGGCAGCTTTCTCTGAATAGACAGATCCAAAATGCAATACTTTCGCCGCATAAGGCTGGAAATTTCAGTATTGACGGATCATCATTTGGTTCGCCGGTGGGTGGTTGCCGGAAAGTGGATCAGAAGTTAACGGGGAGGAAGACGATTCAATGGAAGCCGAGGCCAGACAAATTTCTGCTCGCCATTTGCTTATCTGGTCAGATGAGTAACCACTTGATTTGCCTTGAGAAGCACATGTTCTTCGCCGCGTTGCTTAAACGGATCCTTGTGATCCCTAGCCACAGATTTGACTACCATTACAGTAGGATCATCGACATTGATCGGATCAATACTTGTTTAGGGAGGACCGTTGTGGTTTCTTTTGAGGAGTTTTGGAAGAAGGATAAGAACAGGAAGAAGCATCACCATCTTCATATCGACAGGTTCATATGTTACTTCTCGAAACCGGAGCCGTGTTATGTGGATAAAGAGCATCTTACAAAGCTGAAGGCTTTGGGAATCACCATTGGAGGGAAGCTAGATTCACCATGGGAAGAAGATATTGCCAGGCCAAGCAACAAGACAGCTGAGGAAGTGGAGACTAGTTTCAGATCAGATGATGATGTTCTTGCGATTGGTGATGTGTTCTATGCCAATGTCGAGAGAGAGTGGGTGATGCAGCCTGGTGGTCCTGTGGCTCACAAGTGCAGGACTTTGGTTGAACCAAACCGGCTAATTCTGCTCACTGCACAGAGATTTATACAGACGTTCCTTGGCAAAAACTACATTGCTCTTCATTTCCGCAGGCATGGATTCTTGAAGTTCTGGTATGGGTGCAATGTCCACTTCTTTAATAACCTTTTTCGGTTCTAATGTAGTAGTATTGTAACTGAAAGTGAGAACCTTTTGTATCTAAATCTGCTTAATCTTGACTTAATCATAGCATTGATGATATGGTACCATTTAGAAGCATGGCTATACTTTTTGTGAATGAAATTTGGAGCTACAATGCTACTTAGTATAGGCGAATTCTATTGACCAAGTTATCATTTATGAATGTGTAATTTTGTTGATGTTGCAGTAATGCCAAGAATCCAAGTTGCTTTTACCCTATTCCTCAAGCTGCTGACTGCATCACTCGTCTGATTGAGAAGGTCGAGGCACCGGTTATTTACCTTTCTACTGACGCAGCTGAAAGCGAAACCGGTCTGCTACAGTCACTGTTGATGCTAAATGGGAAGACTGTTCCCCTCGTGAAGCGACCACCTCGTGATTCAGCTGAGAAATGGGATGCGTTGTTGTACAGACATGGTCTCGAAGGTGACTCGCAGGTAAACATCTCCTTTCTTTTATCTTTTCCTTCTTCATGTTGAGGGGATTTGAAAGAATGAGAAACATGCACGAATCAACAAATCATAACTGAAACTTTCCCTTACCTTCTAAAGGTGGAAGCAATGTTGGACAAGACGATATCCGCAATGTCAAGCGTGTTCATTGGTGCCTCAGGTTCTACTTTTACAGAGGGTATCCTGAGACTCAGAAAAGACTGGGGAACTGCTTCAGATTGCGACGAGTATCTCTGTCAAGACGAGCAGCCTAATTTTGTAGCCGATCATGAATAAATTAGGAACAAAGCAGATTAACACAATCTCTCACGTCTTGTGATAGTTCTCATCATAAACAGTCTAATTCTTCTCTTTTTGTTCTTTTGTGCATAGGTTTATTAGTAACTCATTGCTATTCATTTGATACAGCTCCTAATATATATCATCTGTGATGGAAAGTTTCTGAGTGATTATAAATTAAACACTAACCATTTGTCTCTGCCTATAATCTGTCATTATCATGTCAATTCTGATCCACAATTTCTAAAAGGACGACCTTTTAGTATACTTTGTAAAGTCGATTTCAAAGACTGTTTATGTATTACAATTACAAACACACTTATATATATACATTTGTCCATTTATGAGGATTTAGTATATATATCTGCCCAGAGACGCGCCGCCGCTTCTTGGTGATTCCTCGTGAAAGATTAGTAGATTAGGCTTTCCTTTGTCGGTCACGGCGATAATCACTTAAAAAGCTTCGATCTTTCCTTTGAATATACAAAAACAATCCACGTCGTTTAGAGCAATACCCAGATGACAAATTCACAAAATCGTCACTAAAGATCGGAGCTTTTTTCAAAGTTTCGCTTTCGGGTTTTTGATTTTTGTTGGCTTTTCTGTTTCGAAGGTAGTGATCATGAGAGCGAGATTGTTGGTTTTCCCGATTAAAGGGAAGAACTGGTGTTTTAGCAGATCTGTTGATCCTTTCGCTGCTCAGTCGCCGTCCGGCGTTACTCCGACCACTGTACGAGGTTTATGGAAGAAGATATCATCCGAATCCAAGCCCATCAATGCCAACGCGGAGCTTCTCGTCGATTTCATCTCTGACAAGGTATACCACACACTAAATCGTTTTCTCTGTATATATAAAGCTTACATACCCGTGTGTTTATGTGGCGTGTAGTGAGATTTCTTTATCTATAGGTGTAAAAGATAAAATGTGACCAATAAAAAGGAGAAAGAAAAGTTAAAAAAGGGTTCTTTTTTTATCAGTTTGATGAGTTGTTGTTCTTGTAATGGTTTAGATGAATAAAGCTTGGATGGGTCTTGAGAAAGCGCCTGATGGGTCAATCAAGAACAAGATTCATGGGTTTGTGAATTCTTCACTCTTTTTTTTTTTTGTATTTGGGACATCTCTTGATGCAATGGCTTTGGTCTATGTTTTGATAGGCTTAATGTTGAATTGTCGTCTCTGTGGTTCGATGTATAGGTTAGGACTGAAGCTTCTGGCTCGTGTTAAGCCGTCTGAGATTTTCCTGAAGTCTATATCTAAAGAGGTCACTTCTGTACAAGTCACTTATCCTCCAAGGTTCTATTCTCTATCCTTTTCTTGAATATTTGTAAACTTGATCAGATTTTAGTATGTTCTGGTGAATTCAGATTGGTTACGGTTTTAGCTTATCCATGTCAAATGTTTCAGTTTAGATCCTAGACTTGTACGCAGGAGGCTACGCCACATTGCCATGAGGTAAATTGCTTTTTTTTTCACATTGTCTCTTGAGCCATTTGTGAGTTTGAGAATCTCTGTTTCTTCTGACATAATGTTTTCTAATTGGATTTGTAGTGGAACAATCCTGCACAAGAAGTACCTAATGGGTTCAGTGACTTTGCTTCCATTGACCAGTGCATTTATGGTATGTATTTGAAAAACCTTAGCAACTCGGTTCAGTATTTTCAAAGTCTCTCATAAGACATAACCAACAAAGCCTTTGTTTTTGCCATTTAGATATTGCCATTACCAAACATACCATTCTTCTGGGTCTTATTCCGCACATATTCCCACTGGCGAGCTCTTCAGGTCTGTTGATTTTACTTCAACGATACATGGTTTCGTGATCGTGTAGAGGTTTTATATAAACCTGAAATCATCTTCTTGATTGACATTGAAGGGAAGTGAGAAGCTGCTCAAGCTCATCTCAAACCAGTCAAGTCCCCAGAAACCAAACTCAGCTGATGATGCAGATGAAAGCAACAACAACAACGAGAAACCGGAACAAGAGTCTCGATCTCCCACATGTGTAAGATATTTTTGCTCAACAAACAACTCGGAAGGTTTCTTGTTCCTTCTTGTTTCTTATTTTGTCTTAAAACAGGTTTTGCTGCCATCAGAAGAGTTATACAAGCTACTTGGTGAAGCTAGCGAGGAAGGGCTCGACGAGGAGACCATAGTAGAGATTTGCAAATCCTTTCATCTTAATAAGATCGATGTTCTTAAATATCGCAATCTAGTCTAACTCTTTTGTCATTTTAGGCTCTCTCATTTTTGGGAAACAAATTTTCAGATGTTTGAAGCTAACTTACGCTCCAATTCTTTTTCGTCTTTTGATTGATTCCTTGAGAACTTTTTTAAAATATCTTTTGTTGCATACTTGAAACAGTTGATTGTTCAGTTCTGCACTACGAAAGGAAAACATAACAATAAGTTTCTTATTTGCTAATGGATCCCTCAAAAACTTATAACATTACTTCTACGTGTACCAAGAGATGAGAGAGCATGACAAGGTTTATGTATGTTACAAACTTATAACATTACTTCTACGTGTTACCATTGTAAGACTCTGTTACACTATAATTCGTCCTTCTGATAGCTTTTACTACCTTTGCCGATTTTTTTAACAATCAGAATAAGACAATTTGGCTACAGTATTTGAACTAAACCTTAGCATTCGTATACTATTCTGATATAGGATGTTATTGGTTTTATATATTTAGTGGAAGTTATTAGTTATATGATTTTAATGGATTTAGAAAAATCAATTAAATCCAGTGTTATTGGTTTTATAATTTTAAAATCTATATTCAAATTTTATCTTATTGGTTTTAAAATTTTAAAATCTATATTCAAATTTTATGTGATTGGTTTTATAATTTTAAAATCTATATTCAAATTTTATGTTATTGGTTTTATAATTTTAAAAAATTATATTTAAATTAGGTGTTATTGGTTAATGGTTTTAAAATCATGAATTTTTTTAAAAGTGTATTTTAGTGGATTTGAAAGGACTTCCATGTTAAAAATACAAAAATTCAAATCCAAGATTATACTTATGATTTAAAAAAATTGATTTTACAAAATTTATAAAATCATAAGTTTAACCTTAGTCTTTGTATTTATCCACTAAAATTCTATTTAAAATTAAATTCATGATTTTTAAAAGCATGAACCAATAACATTAAATTTAAATATGAATTTTAATATCATTAGTTTTTCTAAATTCATTAAAATTATATAACCAATAACCCCACACTTAAACTTGTTGGGTTTGAGATAATTTTAACGATGGGCCCATTTTGAACTATATAGTTCTGACCTCTCCAACAAGACAGATAAAATGGGCCGACTTTAAAGCCCTATATACACGTGCGAGTGGCACGCGTGCTAGAGCTTATATTCTTTTCCTCTCCGGCAAGATTTCTTAATCGATTAGAACTCACAAATCTCTCCGATCGAATTCCGGCAAACATGGTGAAAGATATTGAAGATGAGATCAGAGACGAGAAGAATCCTCGCCCGCTTGACGAAGATGATATCGCTCTCCTCAAAACCTACGTAAGCATCCTTCCTAGATTTTTACTATTCTAGGTTCAGATCCAGCTTTAGGCGAGCCATTTAGTCAAATTTGCTACTTTAGGGTTCTTTTTTTCTGTTTGATAGGGTTTCGTCTCTATGCAAAACAAATTTGATGATTCGTCCTGTGTGATTCGAGCTTAGATTTGGTGTATTTAGTTTCGGGTTTTGTGTTTTTCCTACTTGGTTGTATCTGTTCACTCTCCATACCTTTTCTTGCTGACCTACTTTGGTAAATCTCATTCCTTTGCAGGGGTTAGGGCCTTACTCTGCACCGATTAAGAAAGTAGAGAAAGAAATCAAGGAGCTTGCAAAGAGGATCAACGATCTCTGTGGTATGTCCGCACTCTCTTTGTTTTGCTGAAGTTTTTGGGTTGCTTATATGGGAAACCTTAACTTGACTTGATGTGCTTCTCACTTCCATTGCAGGTATCAAGGAGTCTGATACTGGTTTAGCTCCTCCCAGTCAATGGGATCTCGTGTCCGATAAACAAATGATGCAAGAGGAGCAACCTTTGCAGGTAAACTTCTCTTAAATCTCTTCTTCTTCTTCTTCTTTTACGGATAACTTCTAAGGGATTGCTACTAAGGTGTAAACGTTTTTTACTGTCCAGGTTGCTAGATGCACAAAGATCATTAGTCCAAACACTGAAGACGCCAAGTACGTCATTAATGTCAAACAGATAGCTAAGGTACATTGAATTCCAGAGCTGATGTTTGTTTCTGCGTAACCAATTATGTGTAGCCTTTCGATTTTTGGCTATAACTGGTTTTATTTTGGTTCCTAATTGCAGTTTGTCGTTGGTCTTGGCGATAAAGTTTCTCCTACTGATATTGAAGAAGGCATGAGAGTGGGGTATGTTTCCTGTTTATGAACTGAGATTGTCTCTGGTTTGAGTATCAGTTTCTTCTGTCTTCTATGTATATTTTTCTTGTTGCTTTAGTTCGTTATCGCTGTAACTTTCTCTTATGGGTGATAACTTGAGAAAAACATTCCGTCTTTGATTTGTATTTGCAGAGTTGATAGGAATAAGTATCAGATTCAGATTCCTCTACCTCCAAAAATCGATCCTAGTGTCACCATGATGACAGTTGAAGAGAAACCTGATGTTACTTACAATGATGTTGGTGGCTGCAAGGAGCAGATTGAGAAGATGCGAGAGGTATGTTAGTGAACTTTGTAATTATATTCTATGTATATTAACTTACTGCTATGGTGTAGTTTCTAAAGGAAACACATTGTTAAAAGATTTGTTGTCTTCTGTTGATTGTAGGTTGTTGAACTGCCAATGCTTCATCCAGAGAAATTCGTGAAGCTTGGAATTGATCCTCCCAAGGGTGTTCTCTGCTACGGTCCTCCTGGTACCGGTAAAACCCTTTTGGCTAGAGCTGTGGCCAACAGAACCGATGCTTGCTTCATCAGAGTTATCGGCAGTGAGCTTGTTCAGAAGTATGTCGGTGAAGGAGCTAGGATGGTTCGTGAATTGTTCCAGGTAATTAATTGTCAAGAATCCTCTTTGCTATCTGAGTTTTTGTCTAGCCGAGGCTGCTGTATTTTGTTCTTTGATTCGTATGATATTTGTTCTGAGATTCGTATGATATTTGTTATCCAGATGGCACGGTCCAAAAAAGCATGCATTGTGTTCTTTGATGAAGTCGATGCCATTGGTGGGGCAAGATTTGATGACGGTGTAGGAGGAGATAACGAAGTCCAACGGACGATGCTTGAGATCGTGAACCAGCTTGATGGGTTCGACGCACGTGGTAACATCAAGGTTCTTATGGCAACTAACAGGTATGTCAACATTCCCATTACTTAAGTGAATCTACACAGCACAATTATAACGCTTGACTCTCATTGGTTATTTCTGTATTTTTACTTCCAGGCCTGATACTCTGGACCCTGCTCTTCTACGACCTGGACGTCTCGACCGTAAGGTTGAATTCGGTCTTCCTGATCTGGAGAGCAGGACGCAGATATTCAAGATTCACACGAGAACAATGAACTGCGAGAGAGACATCCGTTTTGAACTCCTTGCTCGTCTCTGCCCAAACTCAACCGGTAATGATCCCAACCATTAAACATGTATCTCGTGCTCTTTACTTTGTGGTCCTTGAGATTTGTGTTCTGACTTTGGGTTTTGTTTGCAGGAGCTGATATCAGGAGTGTGTGCACTGAAGCTGGTATGTACGCAATCAGAGCTAGGAGAAAGACTGTGACTGAGAAGGACTTTCTGGATGCAGTGAACAAAGTCATTAAAGGTTATCAAAAGTTCAGTGCAACCCCCAAGTACATGGTCTACAATTAGAGAGGGAGAAGTCGTTTCGCTTCTTCGCAAAGCTCATAAGCAAAACTCGGAAGAAACACTTATTGTCCTTTGTTTTTTTTCTTTCGCAGCACTTTGTTTGTGTATTCGTAACTTTGTTGTTTTCTTCTTTAATGTCTCATACTTTTGACTCCATAAATTCTCCTTTTAAGTTTGTGTTATCTTTCGCAAGACAATTCCTCTGAAACTCTTAACAAGTTCTGAACAAAGAAGAACTGAACCAAACCCAAATGGAACCAATGTATAAGGAAGCAAGAAATAATCTTATGTTCATGTCAATGATGTAGCTACAAATTTGGGAACATACAGTATTACACAATAAAACAATGGGATTATACACTGCGAGAAGGTTCGATAACCCAAAAATAATAAAATGCTGTCTGTTGTGTCTGTGACTTTATCCAACGGAGCAAAGTGTTGTCCTTTTTCTCTCTGGCGATGAGTTTTACATGTAATCATTGGTTGCGTCGGCACTACCAGAACGTTGTGATGGATCGACTCCGACAGTTCTCTTGCTCATGTTAGCTCTCTGCACTAACACAACCAGTGCCTGCACAACTTCTGACATTGGTGGTCTAAACTCCGGCTCCGGCTGTTAAAAAACCAAACCCAAAACCTGTAAACACCTTTTCTTGGTTTTGCAAGCTTCTAATAAGATTCAGTTCATGGTCATCCTATTTTACCTGGACGCAGAGAGCAATGACATCTGCAAATCGAGAGAGAGATTTAACCGGGTAAAGCCCTTTAAGAGCTGGATCAACCATTTTCGCTAAAGCATCAATGTCGTGAAGTTGTGGAGTCGCCCATCTAACCAATGACTGCTCAGTTCTTGACCTTGTGCTGCTCAAGTTACAACCATTAATTAAAACCAAATTCAGCAAAAACATTCCCCAGCTAGCTTTGATCATAACTAGTAGGAGTCTTTTACCTGTCAAATGGTTTTCTCCCGGTTAAAAGCTCAAGCATGACTACTCCAAAACTGTAAACATCGCTCTTCAAAGAATATTGGCCTGACATTGATACTTCAGGTGCGCTATATCCTTCATCAGTTTGGTTTAGCAACTGCACATACCATAATCATCTAAGCAACCACAAACTACGTTGAGAAACTGTAAAAGAGATTGGAGAAGAGTATGTATATCCAACCTCATTCGCTGTGGGGAGGAAGCTAGCAAGACCTGAATCTGATAAATGAGGATTCATCTCTGAGTCTAGTAATATATTGGCTGATTTGATATTCTTGTCTATTATAGACGGTGAACAGACTTCATGCAGGTACCTGCAAGACCAATACAATTTTCAGTTATCCAAAAAAGACTCTTGTTTCTTATCGAATTATGAGCTAAGCAAAACAAATTGGCTTTTGGACTTTACTCTAATGCACGTGCAGTCCCAAGAGCGATCTTGACGCGTGAATTCCACACCAATGCTTTACTTTCCTCTTCTGATAAGTGTAAGAAGTCATGTAGCGATCCGTTCTTGTGGAATTCGTAGACCACGAGATGCTGTCCGTGTTCAGAACAGTAGCCAACAAGCTTTGTCACGTTTGGATGATCCAAACTGGCGATTTTCGATACTATTTCAGTGAACTCATCTGTCATGCCATGTGGAAGAGCAGACGAATCTATTTTCTTCACAGCAAGAACCTAAAAGATATATGATTTTTGCCAAAAAACATTGTATGACTTGTTTCATAAACATTATAAAAATAAGATTGCATCCATTATAGTTTATTTACCTTTCCGTCATCAAACTCGGCTCTGTATACTCGTCCAAAAGTCCCTTCTCCAAGAAGATTATCTACACTGAAACTTCCAGTAGCAATTTGGAGATCTGCAACTGAATAAACTCTCACATTCGAAGGAACCACAACAGCAGATTTTTTCACAACAACGGGCTTTCTCGTCGAATCTTCATCATCAAACGATTTGTGTCGATCAGCTGGTGGAGGCCGGAGATTAATAGACAATGAAGTATCCAGTTTCTTTGTCTCAACTGATGAAGAACTCTGAATAGAATTGTTTTCTGCAGCCACATAGAGTCTTGAATTTAAAAGTTTTTTCTACTTTTTAAAAGGCAAAAATGTATGTATACATATATAAGTGTAATACCGTGAAAGTCCGATGGAGGAAGAGTGAAAGGCTGGTTATCGGTTTTCTCAATGTCCATGGATGATGATCCCTTTGATCTTTTTCTTTTCCTGACCAAGAAGAAAGCCACAAGAGCTGTGACGACTACTAATGAAACGATTATGCCTGCTATAGCACCAGCTCCGATTCCTGACTTCTTGGAACCTCCATTGCTGGTTGAATCGCCACTAGACTGCTTTTCACCTCCTCTTGGTTTACGGCTCGGGGAGCCATGGATTGGTGGTGTACCAGGTGGAGGTGGAGGTGCAGGTCCGGTGTTGAATGAGTTACCATCTTTTCTGTTTGCAGGAACCAAGAAAAGTGAGATCAAAGGCTCAAAGACAAAAATAAGAGCAAAAAGTGTGTGAAATGAGAACAACTTACAGCAGATTAATGCCCTTTAAAGAACTTGGGATCCAGCCAGTGAAATCGTTGTTTGCAATATTCCTGAGGAACATTGAGCAAGAACCAACATTAATAATGAATGTCTACAGAGAAAAAAACAAGTTTTACATGAAATAAGGTTCGGTTACTCACAGAGTCTCAAGAGGAAGACCGGCTAATACATCGATTGTGCCTGAGAATTGATTGTTCTGAAGGTATCTGTCAAGTTAATATCCAAATATTCAAGTAGCTGAGATATACTAAATCAGTTAGATTTGAAAAATCTATGGAAGCTAGATCATATGCTTACAGTGATTTTAGACTTGTAAGAGAGGTAAAAGTTCCAGGTAAAGACATTGTGAAAGAATTGAACGAGAAGTCCCTGAAACACATGTACTTCAAGTCAACTAATTTTACTAAGACTAAAACTTGAGAACAATCGGAATCTTTACTTTAGGATCTTACAAGGTTGTGAGAGAGTTGAGCTTGGTGAAGTCAACAGCTATTTGCCCCTTAAACTGATTGTGACCAAGATTACTGAGATTTCAACAAGACAGAAACATTAGAACTCATCACATCTTTGAATAGAAATGTCTAGAGGAGTGCGAAGTGAAGCAAATTACTTACAGATACTTAAGTTGTGCCATCTGAGAAATGGAGTATTGAGCAGCTCCAGTGAATTGGTTATTCGCAAGATTCCTGAAACGCCAACGATTATTAATCAAAGTATAGTCAACGTAATCAAAGTACATTGCTTGTTGCATCTTCTGTAATCAAAGTATATAAGGATATTATTAAGCAAGCAAAGAAAAAGAAAGATGATCATCAATGGAACGTACAGTCGCTGCAGATTTGGAGGAAGCTGATATGGTAAATCACCTCCAAGGTTATTGCTGCTTAGATCACTGCACGTTTCCATCAAAGAACTCTTATATAAACTATAAAAACTCGTCATTTCTTTAAAAAGTAAAAGTTTTTTTAAACAGTTTGTAGCATTAGACAGATTGATCTTACAGCTCTGTAAGAGAAGTCAATCTATCAAGCATGTATCCAAGTGTTCCAGAGAGCTCAAGACCTGGTATCTTTCTGTGAAACACTGTATGTTAACAATGCAAATCATATGATTTAAAGCAAGAAGAACAAGAATCTGGATTCAACGAAAACACTAACATTTGAGTAACTCGTGTTCCCGAGCACGTTACGCCTCTCCAGTTCTGGCCACAAGGATCACCAGCTGATGCAGTCCATTGTGTTAACTGTGCTGGAGAATGCATACTGCTGAACAATGTGTTCAGTGCTGAAGCTGCAGAAAATTTGTTGTAATCAGAGACTTATCAGAGCACAATCCAATCAACAGAAATGTTAACCATAAATCATAAGCTTATGACTTCTAATACCGAAAGATCTTGTTATGGACCATCGAGATTCTACTTAAACTCTATAAAGCTTAGTTCTCGGTTCCGTAAGAAATGATTAGAAAACACAGAGAAGAGGAAGGTTCAAGATTTAACCCAAAAACTAAAAAGACTTGAGATTTGGGGGAAATTTCATGGATGAAGAATGGAAAACAGAATCAAAGCTAAGAACCTAGAGAAAGTGAAAGAATATACGAAAAAAGATCGAGACTTTGAGAAACCCATTAAGCTCAAAAAAAGGTGAAGAAGATTCTCAGAACCAAGAAGAAGGAAAAACTCACTGTCTGATGCATCTGTGGCTCCATGGATGAATCTAAGCTCAAATCCTACAATGCAGACTGAAAACAGAGCAACCACCACCCAATTCTCCATCATCTTCTTCCCCTTTCTCTCTCCCCAGATGCCAAAGTTCTTTAGTCTTACGAAATGGGGAAAAAAAAAAGAAATTTAGAAACTTTTTGTGTTTTTGGTTTGAAATCTAATAATTTTTGGAAAGTAAAATTTCTTGGATAGACTTTTATACTGTTTCAGCTCTGTCAAAACGATTTTTCACAGTGTAAAGCTGTCAAGCACGATTTAGCAATAAGAATCCAAAAGCCACATCATGTAAATACGATTAGGCGCATTTTTCTGTATAATTCATCAATAATAAAATGTCAATGAAAAAATTACCCACTCTTGTTTTTTTTTTTTGTTCTTCAGTAATAGGACCGTTAATTACAGTATTATTTTACTTTCAAATTTAAACTATTCAGCGAAATAAATAAATAAATTGTTCTTTGTTGGTGTATAATGATTATGGTCTGACCCATGATTTAATTAATTAATAATAACCCTGCCGGTAGATTTCATAACATACGCGCTTATGGAGGTTGTATTTTTTTTTTAATTTGTTTCGTATTTTGAATTTATTCAATAATAACAAAACAATAATAATAATGTAGCTTTCATACAATGGAGACCACTCTGAATATCACTACGAAGGTTGGATATGATTGGGTTCTTTAAATTGTCCCATCGTTGCTTTCGCCGAATCTATTTAGCTTTGCTCCTT